AACCTGACTTCTATGATTCTGCGATTACCTCCCATGCTGGGCCCCTGCAGATGTGTTCCTTGATAATTTTCTCAAAGGTCTTCTCAAGGACCAAGGTGAGAGTAACCGGCCTATAGTTACCTAAGGCCTATAGTTACCCGATAGTCAGGCTGAGGGGGACCTAGGTCCCTGTAGGGCACCTGTAGCCTTAAGGGGAAATTACATGGCTCCTTTTCCTCACCTACACCATGTCCTCAGCCTTACAGATGTTCTCTCTCATTAATGTGACTTTAGACCCCCTGGTCCCACACACAGCCCCTCCTCCAAGCTCTTGCATCCCAGTCCCACATGCAGCCCCCTGCTCTGTCCTCTCAGACTCTCTAGTCCAGCTTGGCCTGCTCTGGGCTCGTGGACCCTCTGGCCCAGCTCAACCCTTCCCTAGGCTCTTGGGACTTCTGGTTTGGTCTCAGCCCATAAACAAAGGCCACTTGCCTGTAAACCTCTCAGCCCAGGGAACTTGCCTCCGTTCCCAGGCCTGCAGTGTGACAGCAACATCGAGGTTCTTGCAGGAGCCCTGCAGCCAGGGGCTCCTCAATTCCTGGTTGCTAGGGAGAGATGAACTGACTGGTGCAGGCTCTGGGTTTATATAGCTCCAGCCTCTTCTAGTCAGGTGAGTCCCTCGTTAGCTCCTTTCTGCCACCTGCAAGCAGCCTCTCAGGCTGCTTGCTCTCCTAAAGAAGCAGGCACATCTCAGTGCCCTGATACAGCCTCCCTGTAGCTGCAGTTTCTGGTGGGCCTTAGCCTGCTATCACCAGTACGATAGCAAGGGCAGTGCCAGTGGTGCATCAGCACCAGGCGCCCTCACACAGCAAATGCCAAATCAAATGTCATAATTATGTAGTAGCGCACAGAGGGGGGCGCTTTGCAGATGACCTGCACCTAGTGCCAAAATGCCTGGCTATGGCTATGACTGTCACTGCATAACAAATAGGCCCATCTCTGACACTGGCAATTAATGGTTCCTTTAGAGTAGTGGGTCTCAACCTTTTTGACTCAGCTTTCATAATTCTGAATTTGATAGCACCCTCAGCAGATGTGGGCAAAGGGTGCCTCTCCTTTTTCCCACACAAGGGAGACAGGCCCCACCACATTTGCCTTGATGCATGAAGTCCAGAGGGTGCCCCTCACCCATTGGAAAGTGCAAGGGCAGAGGTGGCACTTATTGTATCCTGTCCATGGCTGTTCTAGGCTCTCTGGTAAGCCAGCAGCAGTGGCAGCAGCCTTAGAGGAAGGACACCAGAAATGCGGCATGTGTAGAGTGACCCATCCCCTGTCATACTCT